AAAATTAATTAGAATAATTTGTTCGTAATAATAATTTTAGTATTAACAACAAAAATTCAAAAATTTATTTACACAATTCAGAATGAAAGAAAATAAAAGTTGTAAAATATATATTCCATGCACGTAATATAAAAATAATTATTTAAATAAAAATTTCTTTAGGCGATTCGGGTCTGGGCCCACGGCGGAAGGCGTGGGCTATAGCACACGAAAATTAGGGACTCGCGCGAATTTTCAGTTTTATGGCCGTAAAATACCAAAAGATATAATTTGGCCATGGCGGGGCGGTGACTATGGTTTATTAGGTCGTATTTGACGTCCAGGAAAAATTTTAGGCGATCCGGGTCCGGGGGCCCGGGCCTACGGCGGAAGGCGTGGGCTATAGCACACGAAAATTTGGGAATCGGGCGGAATTCTAGTTTTACGGCCGTAAAATGCCAAAAAATATAATTTGGTCATGGCAGGGCGGTGACTATGGCTCCTTAGGCTGTATCTGACATCCCGCAAAAATTTTAGGCGATCCGGGTTCGGGCGTCCGGGCCCACGGCGGAAGGCGTGGGCTATAGCACACGAAAATTTTGGAATCGGGCGGAATTCTAGTTTTATGGCCGTAAAATACCAAGAAATATAATTAGGTCGTGGCGCGGCGGTGAATATGGCTCCTTAGGCTGTATTTGACATCCCGGAAAAATTTTAGGCGATCCGGTTCCGGTGGCCCGGGCCCACGGCGGAAGGCGTGGGCTATAGCACACGAAAATTAGGGACTCGCGCGGATTTTCAGTTTTATGGCCGTAAAATACCAAAAGATATAATTTGGTCATGGCGGGGCAGTGACTATGGTTTCTTAGGCGATCCAGGAAAAATTTTAGGCGATCCGGGTCTGGGGGCCCGGTCCCACGGCGGAAGGCGTGGGCTATAGCATAGGAAAATTTAGGAATCAGGCGGATTTCTAGTTTTATGGCCATAAAATGCCAAAAAATGTAATTTGGTCATGGCAGGGCAGTGACTATAGTTCCTTAGGCTGTATTTGACATCCCGAAAAAAATTTAGACGATCCGAGTCCGGGGGCCCGGGCCCACGGCGGAAGGCGTGGGCTATAGCACACGAAATTTTGGGAATCGAGCAGAATTCTAGTTTTATAGCCGTAAAACACCAAAAAATGTAATTTGGTCATGGCAGGGCGGTGACTCTAGTTCCTTAGGCTGTATTTGATGTCCCGGAAAAATTTTAGGCGATCCAGGTCCGGGTGCCCGGNATAAATTAAAAAGGAAAAATCATAATATTAAAAAGTTTTAAAAATTAAAAAGAAGATAAATGTTTATAATTTAGTGGGTAAAATAGGTATTTGGTAATCCAAAATTTGGAAAATCTAGTTGAGTGACCTTCTGAGTGCAATAGGCATAGTTCAGTGACTTTGTTGTTACAAACGAAAGTAATGTGTCTTTAGAAGACAATTTTGGATAGTTGAGTAACCATTTGGGTAATGAACTCTGCTAAGTTATAGCCATTTTAATAGTGTTCTATATATGTAAAGAATGGTTGTTGTTGCAACTATTCTATGAGCTAGAAAAAGTCATCTCTGTTTTTTTTATAGGAAAATCAATCTTCTTACACTAGTCATTTTAACGAATTGCTTTAGAAATTTCCTTGTTTATAAAATTTTGAGGTGCACCAGACCGGTATAGTATTTCACTCCAATACTACGGGTGAATATACTAGTAATTTACCGAGATAGGCTTTTCCTTCAGATAATAAAGTTAATCATCTTTAACCAATAACGCGTCCCATATTGGAGCACAATTTTTAAATTTTTGACTTATTCTCTCATCATTTGTGTCATTTAATTGAGAGATAAGAAAGCAACTCATAGAGTCCTCAAACCAACATGTTTTGACTTTGCTTAAATGGCTACTAATATTTAAAAGTCATTGGTGTATGACGTCATGCTGATTCTCTCATCTTCCAGCTCACTGTACAGCAGTTGGAGTACTAGACATGCAGATGCTATACTTTTCAATACTATTGGGTCTTAGTGTAAGTCCGTATTCAACCTATAATATTCTTAAGTTAATGTTTTTTTTTACTACTCGAAATTAATTAAAGAAGGATAAAAGACACAAGCTATAAGAATAATGTGCATAATTAATATTCATAAACATTGTATAATCTTTAATGTCTACTCTTGTCCGATCGAGCATTCTATAAATAAACCTTTAAATAGTTTTTATCTTGTCACATTCTTTTGCTAGTGGCAGAAAAAGTAGGAGTGTTCAAACCGAATCGGAAACCGCACCAAACCAATAAGTCAAACCAAACCGATTAAAAATTTCGACTAGGTTTGGTTATTGATTTGGTTTGGTATTGAGTAAAAAAATCCGAACCAAACCGACATATAAATATATTTTTAAGACTTTATATAGAATTTTATTTAAAAGATGTTTAGAAATATCTGAGATCTCTCATGGGATGTAATATTTAATAGAACTATGTAGTGCATTCATTTTTATTTACGTTAAATAATGGATTGTATCACTTTCTTATTAAGTATTATTGAAATGCATCATTCTTTGTTCTTTCATATTCATATTTTAGGATTTCTTATATCTTTTTTCGAATTTGAAGTGGTATTTTAATAATCTAAAATTACACAGAACATATCCTTATTTATGTATCATATTGATTTTTATGTTTAATTATTAAATTCGGTTAAACTTGAAAGCGTATATCAACCAAACAATATTGTTAGACGACAAAGGAAAAAAAAAGCTATTATGTGTTACTAAAAAAAATTCTCCCATAAGAATACTTTAATAGATCATATGTTTCTTTTTTTTAAAAAAAAAAAGTTTTAGTAAACATATATTCACTTATCAAAACTTTATCTATAACTTTAATAAAGCAAACTTGAAACAATATTCATATAACCCGAAAAATCCGACAAAATCGAACTAATCCAAACGATATATAATTGGTTTGGTTTGGTTTTGATAAAAATCGAAGCAACAACTCGATCCATGTTCAACCCTAAGAAAAAGGATTAAAGAAACTAATTAACGTAGCTCATTTACTACCTACTTCAAGGGTCAAAGCTCTTAGATTTAAAATAGTAAGTTTGGACTACCGCAAGTTCTGGACAATGTTTAACAACTTACTTAGGGTTAGTCAATGCAAATGTTTAAGTCAAACCAATTTGAACTACGAGTCAAACCAGTAGAGAAAAAAGAGAGAAAATGAAAAGCTTGTGGTTTTATGTATCGTTATCGAATAATAGGCTCTACCATACATTGCTAAGGATAGTAGGAAAAAAATTGCACAAATAATATTTCAAATATTTTATTGGCCAATACCTAATATATTGGGTCGTTGCTTTAATTTAATTCATGACCATCATAATACACATTGACTGAAAATTTGTAAAGAATTTCAGTCCGAAATTGTTAAACACTTGAAAGAAATTGGTGTCTGTGTGAGTATTTCAAGCCTATATTCACGTATATGTGCACATGCTATTATGTGTGTTTATTTGTGTGTGTGTATAATAAATGTAAATATGTATGTATATATATTTTCAATTATTCGCGTGTTACTTGTAGAAAAGTGTGGGTGACTGTGAGAGAGAGAAATTAATTACGAATTATACAATCTCAATCTGTTGAGATATATTTGACATTGTTGGTAGGTTTCAAAGTACTGCTTTTGTTATGTGTTAATTACATGCATGAACCAGCAGCTTATGACCTTATTAGGAGACATATTATAGTGCTTTACGACATTAAATACTACCATAAGACTATTAGAGTAAGTTTAGTCATCTAGTTTGGAAGACCTCACATGGAGATTTCCTATTATAAATAGCTAGTTGGTCCTTATTTTTTTTTTTAAAAAGAACACATTATACTGTATATATTTCTTCCTTCGAACATCTTGGATATCAGATTCAGGCCGTTGTTTACTAATATTTCAGTTTTAAAAGGAAGCTTCAATGTGAAAAATGAAGAATTAAAACATTTGAGAAGTTTAAAGTTGCAGCCTAATTATTGCAACTTCACCAAAACAGTTGTGTTTTCTTCCTCCCTCTTCATGGTCAACCATCATCTCAAGAAAAAAAAACCTTCGGCGATCTAGCTCAAACAAGAATCATAAATCAATTATTTGAATATATTTTTCTATCAAAATGTAGGAAATGACTATATCGATTACTTACGGACGTACATGGTTTTTCTTCAAAAGTACTCGATTTCATGTGTCCACCTTTATTAATAAAAAATATACTAATGTAGTACAATATATTCATGTCGTATATATCATCCATCTTTTACAGTTACCATGTATATATCACCTAGTCAGAAAAAGTGTATATATATATATATATCACCTATATTCTTTTATATCAAATCAAAATTTTAATTATTTAGAAAACAATTTTCTTTACATATTTCATGAAAAACACTGTAAAAGTAGTTGTTAGCCATTAGGAATTAGCTGGGAATATATATATACACATGAACCAAGGTACACAGTGGTAATTTTTTTCAACTGTTGCTATAAGTAAAAACTGAGAGGTACAGTACTAACGCGGCAGAAAGGTTTGAAGATTCTTTGGTCTTCAATTTTATTTCATCCCAATTTTCTCAACATTTCTTACTTCCAAACCTCTCATTCTCACTCCTCATCATTGATTCGATCAAGTCCATGTTTATTGCTCCTACGTTGGATCATCAAAAACCAACTTTTCCCCTCCTTACATGAGATTTTGTGGGGGGGGGGGGGGGGGGGGTTAAAGTGGGATTTTGAGTTTAAAACTTGAACTTAAAAAATAAGTTGATGCTGAGGTTAGTTTGAATGGTCAGCAATTGGACTAGCTTACTTATACTACAATTCCCTTGACCGAAGACTGGTCTACGGTCAAACTTTCTCCAATCGTTCTATTCTAATTCACCTTCCCTTTATATATCTCTTCCTTTTCCTCCTATTTTCTACATTCAAAATCACAAGCAAACTTCATCTTTCTTTTTTTTTTTTTTGCATGGTTTCACCAATTAAATTTAACTTTCATATTCCTACGTTCTGTCTCTCCTGCAGCTTTTTGTCTTGTATTCCACGTATACTCTCTAGTTAATTTCTCAAATGGAAAATTATGGTGCTGACAATAATGGGGAGCTTAATAGAATTATAAGTGAATTAACTCAGGGTAGGGACCTAGTTCATCAGCTCCAACTCCAACTCAATGCTCCTTATTCCTCCTCTTCTTCTTCCCCCGAAACAACTCGGGATTTCTTGCTTCACAATATCCAATCCAAATTTGACAAGGCTCTTTCTTTGCTCCAGTACAGTACTGAAGACACTTGTAATTCACTACTACCACTTTCCAATTCTGTGCCAATATACAATTTTGGAAGGTCTGAATCTCCACCATCTTTCACTGCGAGTCCCCCTCATAGTGAAGATTCTGATCGTGACCTTGAACCCAAAGACCCTACTACCCGCAAGAGGTTTGTAGTCTTTTCTTCTTATAAATTCCTCTGTCCAATGCATATGTAAATTAATTATAGGTTAAAATTTCAGGTATGATCACCGAACTTTAATATTGTTATGCTAATGTTTAATGTGTACAGAAAAAGCAGTACGCCACGGTGGACAAAGCGAGTTCAACTTTGTCCCGGGGCACCAATTGAAGGGACTTTAGATGATGGTTTTAGTTGGAGAAAATATGGGCAGAAAGATATTCTTGGTGCCAAATATCCAAGGTACCATTCTTGCTAAAAACCTTTTCCACAAGCTTATATATGCGTAGCTGCTGGTAAAATTGTTGCTACGTGAGGTCAGGGATTCGAGCAAACAGCCTCTTGCAGAATGCAGGAAAAGGCTGCGTACAATAGACCCTTGCGGTCTGACCTTTCCCTGGACCTCGCACATAGTGGAAGCTTAATATACCGGGCTGCCCTTTATATATACTTGCATCTATAAAGTAATTTATTTTTATTCCAATTCTTACAAAGTTTTGGCTGTGAAATGCAGAGGATATTACAGATGTACACTTCGACATGTCCAAGGTTGTTTGGCTACAAAACAAGTTCAAAGAGCCGATGAAGATCCCACAATATTTGAAGTGACTTATAGAGGAAGACACACTTGTAATCAAGGTGGTGGTAATGCCAATAATAATGTCATGAATCCAGCACCTTTGACGATAATACCTCAAAATCAAGAACAAAACTTAGGAGCTGGATCAAGAAATGAACATCAGCAAATAGTCTCTGTACCCCAACAAAATCCACAGGAAATCCTCTTGAATTTTCAGAGAAACCTCAATATCTCCAACGACAATAATTTCAACTTCAATACTGATCCTAACAATGTGCCATTTTCAACTTTTGCTTCATCGTCCGATATCAAGTCTGATCAAGATTACAGCTTTGTGCCTAATTCCATTATTCAAAGCGACAACTTTGTTGAGAATTTTTCCCAATCCTATATGTCTGCAGGAACTTCAGGGTCGTCGTCAAATTATTTTGGGATGTCTTCTAATTCTGAAATGAACAATTTTGGAGGGAAGCAAAATGGTTCAAATGACTACCAATTTAACTCAATGGGATATGAATCAAACTTCCCATTTGATTATCAGGGGTTCTCTTCCTAATCCCACCAGATGTTCCAATGCGAAGACGTAACTTAACCAAGATGATGAGCTGCTGTTAACCACTAAAATCAGGGATTAACGAGCTGGTGAAGCTGAGCCAAGGACAATTTTGCACCATTTCTTTTAGCAAACAATTGCATTAGGATTGAAGCAAGCTAGTTTAACCGATTTCTATTAAAATAATAGTAGTATCTGTTTTGTTCTCATGTGATCATCTTTACGTTGTACTTTCTGAATTAATTTCTATTGGAAGCTTTAAAGTTAGCTGTTTGGAGTTAATTTTTTTTGATGGTCATTGAACTTTTGTGTTTGTTACCCAAAAGTCACTTTTCTTTTTTTGTTACTTAAAAATTATTTAATTTTGTGTTCATTACTCAAAAGTTACTCTTCTTTTTTTTGTTACACAAAAATCATTTTACTTTGCTCTAGTAATCACAAAAGTCACATTTGCCAAAATTTATGATATTTTTACTTGAAAAATCTATTATGCCCTTGATATTATATAAATCTTCATATTTATGTAATATCTTCTATATTATATACTATATAATATATTTTTACCTAGGTATATAATATCAAGGGCATAATAGACTTTTCAAGTAAAAATATTATAAAATCTGGCAAATGTGACTTTTGTGATAACAAGAGCAAAGTAAAATGATTTTTAAAAAAAAAAATAGTCACTTTTGAGTAACGAACACAAAGTTAAATGATTTTTACGTAACAAAAAAAAAAGTAACTTTTAGGTAACAAACTCAAAAGTTCAATAACTCGATAAAATTAACTTGCCAAACTTCCGAAACTAATAAAAGTGTCTTTTCTTTAAAAAGAAGAATGCATATTCTGGAAGGTTTTATGGCCAAGCTTTTGAGGAAAATGATTTTGAGTAGTTCTTTTTTTTTTTTTTTTTTTTGTTAAATTGAGAGGAGGAAGTGGAATTCTAACTTCTAACACAAGTAGAAAAAAGAGTTTCCGGAACAAGAATATCCTGACAATTTTATTTATATTTACCAAACTTGTTTCTCCTTAATTAATTTAACTCATTTGTTACTCACATTCTCCTTATTTTTTATACTTTCATAACTTAAATGAAATATATCATAATAAAATTTAAAATTTTCTTATATTCAAATACTAATACTTATTATAAAGTGAATTTTCTATGTCATTTAATCATAATTTGACGTTCGGAAGTATTTTATTTAAAGAAAAATTGACCAATCACAATGCTGAAGTTTTCATCAGATGATTTGATCAAGCACAGATTGCTACTTTTCCAAAATAAAATCTGTAAATGTTCATTGAGGATTATTAAAGTTATGCCAACTTGCAATTTTTTGTCCATCTATTCCTGCTTCTTTATTGGAGGTGATTCTTACGTCATCAAGTAGCGTCATGCACTGTACGAGCCCATACTGAACCAACATAGAGAAAATTTCACTTTATACCCATTAATTCTAAACTATTTATCCTTTAATGTCCAGGCCCAAACTATTTACTACTCCTACCCATGCTACCCAAACTATTTACCCGGTTATTTCCCATTAATCTTACGTCTGTTTTGACTGGTGGCTTTGGAAGTTCATCAACTCCTCGAACTGGCATGAGCGACTCATTTGGGTTTGGCTGATTGATTAACAAACTTGGTGGAGAATTCCGAATCTCCTCCTGTGGATATTATTACTCTCAAACCCTATTTTGACTACTGAATACCCTATTAGCTAATAAACATAGACACTTGATATTTTGACTATCGAATACCTTCTTCTTTCTTCATCTAAACTGGTTTTTGCAGATTTATTGTACAAAAATTCAAATCCACCATTGAAGGACCTTGAAGCTTGAAACTCATAACTTGGTGTGTTTGAGTTTTTAATTATTTTGTTCCGATCCTATATGGGTTTATTTGGAAAGTTGATTGGAGGTTGTAGCTAAAGTTTTAGTCAATTTGGTGGAGATTTTGTAGTAGATTTTAGAAGTTTGGGTTGAAATATAGTTGAACAAGAGAAGAAGACGAATTTGAATTGTATACTCAAATAGTATACAAATATACCATTTTGGTATACAATTCATTCCAACTATATACACTATTAGTATAGCTATATACTATATTAGTATCATATGCTAGTTGAATCATTTTTTGGTTATATTAGCTGCATTTATTAGTACAATATTTGATTTTCTTTTAATAATAGTAATATACAATATCTTGAAATACTTTATTATATTAATATGTGATACACTATTTTTTTTATTTTTCTCTTTATGCATGTGTGTTATGTAATAGTAGTATAGTAATATAGTTGCGGGGAATTAAACAGTAAACTGTATACCATGTTGGTATAGTTATATGCCATATTGGTATCATATGGTAGTTTGAATTTTTTTTGGTTGTTTTGGCTGTATTTTTAAGTGAATTCTATTCTGAAATTATTTATATGAACGTGATTTGCAGTGCTGGAATTTTTTTGTGCTGATGGATATAGATTATGTGTATTATGTAATAGTTTTTATAATTATAAGCAATTGTTGGAATGACCCATACAACTGTATACCATGTTAGTATATGGAATGAGCAAGTTGCTTTGAAAATATTTAGCTTGCAATGCGAGCATGTAATTTTCTCATACTTTTATTGTATCCTTTAATGTTTTGGTACAGTAGTATAGTCACAGATAGGTGTAACAATATTCTAGAGCAATCATATACTCTGTTGGTATACATGTATACCATATTGGTATCATATGGTATTAGAAGTCTTTTTTGCTACTTATATTTGTATTGCATTTTCCAATATTTTATTATCATTTCTATTCTAACTAGTATATATGGAGATTTAGTGGCCATTGATTATGTTTTCTTGCTCCATCACTGGTTAGTGTTATTGCTAATGGTAGAGTATGTACTGATATTTGTAGGGAAGGAGATCAAGGTTTGCATGGCAATCATGTGGAATTAGAAAAGGAACAAGAAATAAAGAAAAATAAAATAAAAATAAAGGAGCCAAATTTGAGTGTGAAATAATTTATGGTAAAAATAACAATAATACGATTTGGGCAAAAATAAATGAATAAAAGAGAAAAAAATAAAAAAATAGGAAGAAAATGAGAAAAACGAAAAGGAGAAAAGAAAGAAAAAAAGGAAAAAAAGAAAAGAAGCATAAAAATAAAAAAAATTGGAGAATAAATAAAAAATTTCCCACAAAAACTACTATGGGTAGGAAATATAATTAGTTTATGGGTGGAAAAATAAATGGATAGACAAGGATAAATAGTTTTGTTTTTGTAGGTAACTGTGTTAAAACCTCAAAAAATCTATTTGGAATTGTTACACAAATTGCCCTGCCAAGCCCAAGTCGAGCCACTTTTAGGCCCAACCATGTATTCTAAGACATCTTAGAATGGTTATCAAAATCTGACCAGGTCAAATTCACTGCCAGTTTGCACTCCTACTGGATGTCATTTGTTAAGCAATTAACCATTTTTCTGTTGCATCTTTGTTTACCTCAAAAAATGCGAGTAATAATTAAAGATAATTTGTAATTTTAAAGATATGTGATATATTCTAATACTAGTGATTAAACAAGTAATATTAAGCTTAAGTAAGAAGAATTGGTGAACCAAATCAGTATTGTTGGAGTAGGGGCCTCGAGCTTGATTATCCCAGGGACCTCGAGGTCAGCTAAGAACAATAAAGGATGAAAAATAAAGTAAAGACAATAAAACTGAAGAATAATTGTTGAGCACGTTAAACAAGAAAAGCAGAGTGGAATGTTCTATTGCCGTGAATAATGTGTCTTTTACAAATGATTGGGGTCCCCTTTATATAGGAGGAGAAAACCCTAATATGGTACATTTTCAATTATGATAAAAATCCTATTGGTACAGCTGTATAACGACCTAGTACGGACTTGTACTATTCAGTACGAATCTTATCCTATAATTTATGCCTGATCCACATGTCCTTGAGAAATTCCCGCTCTTTCTTGAGTGCCTTCGAGATTTATGCTGCCCTCGACGTAGGTCGTGCCAGGCCTTCGATCTGCTTCCTCGAGGTATGTGTTCTTTGGCCGGATTCGACCTCCACTTCGAGCCGCCCTCGGACTCATATCCCAATTTAAGACTTCGAAATCCGGCTCCTTGATTTTGACCATATACATATAGTCCCCGCGTTTCTTAGAATGAAGTGCTAAGAAACGATTTGAACCTCGATTTTCCCGAACCACTTGTGATGGAATCATGGTCGTGACGCAGGCGCTTGAAGTGACCGGAAATGTCATGTCAGTGTGCTTCCCCAAAACGTCAAATACGTTTCATCCTTGTCGGCCACTTACGCCGCCGGTTCTGTCGTCGGCTTTCTATAAATAAGAGGTTACTTTGCTGGACGACAACTACACTTGTTCCTTCTTCAGATACCTTTAGTCCTTTCCCTTCTTTACCTCTTCCTCTAATCACCTATTTCCGTGGTTCAAATCTGTGCCACAAGGTCACATGGCAGCGACTTTACCAGTTACACCAAGACTTCCGTTTTCAAAGCTTCAGCTCGAGACAACGAGAGAAAGGCACCGGATCCCTTCCGTAGCAGAAGATATACGAACTTTACACTGCTTCTCATCTCTCTTAACTTCAACCTGGTGTGGCACTTCATTCCTTTTGCTTTTCATAGAATGGGGTGGCACTATTATCTACTAACTTTTGCATCCCACAACGGAACAAAGTTCCGAGGATGAACATTCTTGGACTGTTGCTCGTGCATCTTGCAACCCATTTTGGTTTTTCCCTTTTGCTTACTCTTTCTTAATGTATGGTGGCCCAAAACTTCAGCGGAATGCTCAATCTTGGCTGCTGGAGATATAATTACGTCTATAGAGGGCCTCCTAACCTATATAAACGTTTCCAAAGATCTGAAATGGTGCCCCCGAGGAAAGAAATTCCGAAGACGATGCTCTCGAGGACGTGGTCTTAAAAGTGGATTAGATTTTTTTGACTTTATTTTTTGCTTCTTTGTTCCTGTGTAAACATCCTTCGTGGGTGCCGTAGCTATAATTTGTAAATATTTCTTGGAATCAAAAAATGATCCTTTTGTATCCCTCCTGGTTCGTGCTGAATTTTACTTTATCTTTATCCGTAAAGGACTTTGATGAGATGGTTTCAATAGCTAGCCCAAATATCGAGCTCGAAACATAATAAACCCTTAGGTTTTTAATATAGTACCCCTCGAGGTTCTCGTTAATCTTCAAGCTGAGCTTAAATACGAACCCCGAACATCATGATCCCCGAGCTCGAGTTGGGTGAGAGCAAGATCTCGAAATGAAGTTAATCCTTAGATCTTTTCGTAGTCCCCGAGTGAGAATTTTCTCGAACTCGAATAGCCCTTGGTCTTAGTAGTCGAGCGAGTGTTTGCTCGAACTCAAAATACAGTTAGCCCTTAGGCTTCATATATAGTCCCCGAGTGAGAATTTGCTCGAACTCGGGTAGCCTTTGGGCTTAATAATTGAGGGAGTATATGCTAGAACTCGACTTGTAGGCTGCCCTTTATGATTTTTGACAAATTAACTCCCGATGCCTTGGTCCTGATGCCATTACCATGACATAAGCGGTTGAAGTGACTGAAAAGTTGCTTTTTGTATGATTCCCAAAATCATTAATTGCGGGCGGCTGACGGTCGGCCTTTTGGCTTCCCCAGCACGCTTAAGTGATCTCTATAAATAGGCCAATTCCACAACCTTACAAACTTTCTTTCTTGTTCTCAAAGTCTCATTAGCCTTTTTCCATTTCCTTGAATTCTCCCTTCTATTTACTGTCAACCCTTCTTCATTTTCTTGGGTCTTCCGCACTTGCGATGGCTAACACCTCTAAACCGGTTTCTCAAAAAGAAAAAGTTTCTTCATCTTCCCGATCAACCAAGAGTAAACCGATAGCACCCCCTTGTGTTGAAGAGTGCATCCCTCCGCCATGTGAAATAACATCCGATTTCAAAATCGATAAACCCGCGTCAACACCAGGCTGATGCGAGCCCATGTCTCGATATGTTTGCTTGGTGACCGAGGCCGAGCTCGGGCAAGTAAAGGAGGACCATTTACGTTGGGTCCTGCAATCCCGTCTTAGGATCCCATAGATTCGGTGATTCTTGACTTTTGCCAACAATACCGAGCAACGCTTGGCCAGATCTACCCCTCCTTCTGGCGAATCGTTTACTTGATCAGGTTCTTTTCGAACCATGTCAAGGGGATGACTTTTACCCTTGATCATCTGATCAGACTGTACAGTCCCCAACTTTATCGTGGGGGTTTGATAAAGTTGCAATGCTGACCCTTAAAATCTCTCTTCTCTAGCATTGATGAGGACAAAGACCGTGGATGGATGAGCCGATTCGTCCGAGTCAGGACCTCCGATCTGATTCCTATTGATTGGATGCCATTTCCCGAGGAGTGGAACACAAAGTGTAAGTACATAGCGTGTTTCCGTCCTGCTCTCTTTTTCTTTTTCCCGGCTTCATCCCTTTTCTTGGACTAACCCCTTTCCGGTGGCGCAACCACTGCTTGGTTTCCTGGTGGGGTCCCGAACCTCGAAGGCTGGATACGAAAGTTGGCTTCCGCTTCTTCCTACTCGGAGTGTTGTTGGCGAGATTTGACCGAAGGTCGACGGGAGGCCAAAAATCATGGTGAGCTCCCTTGTTTGTTTCCTTGCACTTTTCTTTATAGTTTATTTATTTCGGTTTTCTATAGGTCTTGGAGATGCCGTTGCCATGCGGTCGGCTTCGAATGATGACGAAGAAGTTCTGAAGTCTTCTAAGGAAAGAAAAAGAAAAAGAGAGTCGTCCGCAAATCCCTCGAAGCCTAAGAAAAGCGTGGCTCGACGGTCCAAGGTTGATACGGCGGCCCTATCTCCGTAAACGATCCAACGCCTTCGAGACCAGGAGGAAGAAGAAGATGACGACTGCCTGTTAGTAGCCCGTGAAAGAAGAAATGTTGGTGCTTCAGCGTCCATCAAGCCGGTGAAGGTCGATGCGGCGCCTTCCAGAATAAAAGAGATTTCCGAGGGGAGTTCAAATAAAGCCCCCGAGCTGCTGTGTAGAAAAAAGGCACCTCGCCTAGGAGGCCATCTGGAGGGTGAGGCCGAACGGCTCAGTCCCGAGCTTCTTCAAAGTAAAGAGAACGCCCCAAGTGTATCGTTCGGCGTAATCAACATAGATGATTCACCTCTTATCCCCAAGTTCTCCGATGGGCAGATCTAGGATGCTCAAAATCTGAGGTCTTTTGAAGTGGAAGCAAGCCATGAAGGAGATGACATTTTTCGAGAATGCCTTGCGGGGCTTGAAGATGGCCCCGACCCAAATGCGTCTTTCATCTTCGATGAGGCTTGCAGACTCTTAAAACAGGTGAGTTTCTCGTTTGTAATGCCTGCACCTGTACTTTCGTTGTCTCTAAATCCATTTTTCCTCCTTTTTTATGAAGGCTGTGGTGCTCCATAAAAAGGCATTTTCCAAGTCTCGAACCAATCTTTCTCGATGTGAGGCTAAGCTAAAAAAGGTCTCGAAGGAGAGGGACGACCTTAAAGCCCTCTATGCTAAGAAAGAGGCGGAGATCAACGATCTTCAAGTTGAATTGGCACAGGCTCACCAAGGGCGGGTCGAGTATGCTGAGAAGGTAATATAACCTTTGCGGACCTGTTATGAACTTGCTTGTCTTGACGTCTAATACCTTTAATTTTGCAGCTTTATGAGAAGGCTGATTTGGTGGCACGACTTCAGGAGGAGCTAAGAGTGAAAGAGGCCAAGACCTTGGGGTGGAGACAAAGCATGGACGACCTCGCCTCTGAGAAAGAAACTCTTCGAGAAAAGCTGGCTTCCCTCGAATGTCAGTTCTAAAGTGTGAAAGAGGAGAGCCTAGCTCGAGTCCGCGACATGGAGGAGCTTAAAGCTGAATCCGCTACTGAGTTGGCCAAGGCCAGATCTGATGCTGAGGCAGTTATGTCTTTGTATCGCACCGATGCCGAAGCAGCTAATTCTCGGGCAAAGGAGATCGCTATTGCAGGAGAGGTCAAGTTATCGAGTGCGCTTGACGATGCTAGGCGTCAATCTCGGAGGATTACCCTAGAGGAGGTGCATGCTCGCGGCTTCGATCTCTCAGCCGAAATTGAAAAGGCGAAGATTTTGGAAGAAGAGGTTGCCGCTTTGCTTTCTGATGATGATGGTTCAGCCAGTGGCTCCGAGGGCGGAGGAGACGAGGGTGAAGTCTCTGAGGATGAGGCTTTCGAAGATGCGGCCCCCGAAGATGCAACTTCCGAAGATATGACTCCGAAGTAGTTTTAGGTTTCTTTATTTTGTTTTTGCATAGGTATCCCTTGCGAAAACATCCCCTGTAATTATTTTATGGAAATAGGAACTCTTTATCTCATTTTCGACTTGTATTGGATTTCATACTGTTTTGATTTATGGAATGCTTCTTTTACATAACTTGATCGATCGGCCCCGAAATGGGTTTGGGCTTGGGATAATAAACCCTTAGACCCTTTGATATAAAGCAGTAGTCACTTAGCTAAGTTTAAATCGATCTGACTCGAGCTCGAGATACCGTGACTCTTGAGTTCGGGTCGAGTGAGAACTGAGTCTCGTATAATACGTTTCTGGCCCTTAAGCCTTTCGAGGTTGGCCCTTAGGCTCTTATATATCGGCCCTTAGGCTCTTCGACATCGGCCCTTAGGCTCTTTAGGTTGGCCCTTAGGCTCTTAGAATGGCTATATAATTTTTCCCTAATTTCGGCTTAAAAGACTTAGTAAAATTTTAATTATGCCTTGGCATGTGCTTTTTGCACACGTAGGTTTTCTCGAAGGGCATATCGGAACCTTATTAGTAATTTGTTTGTGTAAACATAATCGAGTACCTCTTGAGGTATTTCTGAAGGCCGATGTCATCGAAGCCCTCGGATTTTTTGAGGGCTGAATTTATCGAAGCCCTTAATATTTTGCTTTTGCCGAGGTAGCCTGATTTAACCGGTTTTTACAAAGTGTTTGAAGGCCTTTAATTTTATAGCAGAAATCAGACATCTCCGAATCGCATTATTTTGGCCGTATCCTTTATGTGACCGTAGTCTTTAGTATGGCCGTAGCCTTCGGGTTTGTCACTTGAACTTGTATCCCGATAACTTTCCGAACTTGTTCGAAAAGTTAGTCCCCGAGTTTATTGGCTTTGGCCTTTGTTTCGAGGGGGTGCCTCTTTGAGGTCTTATGAGTCTGAATTTTCGATGACTCGGATATGTTAACTGTTAGTGACAGTCCCTGGGTATTTCGGGGTGCTTTGGCCCTTGAGCTGCTTCCCGTAGGATTGTAAGTGTAGAGCTCATATGATACACAAAGTGTTTTTGATGTAACCAGAATACTTCTTTAAATAGTTGATACATGCGTACATGTTTTGCCGTCGGGGCTCGACTATTCTATATGGACACGGTTCATTCGACCGTTTGGCCCATTACAAAGTTCTCCTATCGAGGCCTTCTTAGGCGTGAAACATCTTTCTCAAAAATATAACCTCTGGGGGTAATACCCCCCAGTATTCGAGGTTGATCGAAAAGAAGCCTTGAATACTTGTTGAGTGTTCCTTAGGTAGCATATGGGTGTTGCCTCGTTAAAAAGCTTGCCGGTAAAACCCATTTAGGATAAAACCCGATCTAAGGGAAAAAGAGTGCAACGCATGCTTTCAAACCCAAGGTTTTCGAGCTGCAAGATGCCTCGATGTCTCCAATCGAACATATAGGTATATATATATATATATATATATATATATATATATATATATATATATATATATATATATAAAGAGACACAACTATAGAAAAAAAGTTTCTCTCTCTAGCAGTTTCTCTCGGCGCACGATTAGCGTGAAAGCTAACGTACGCCCACCGGAAATATGGGGAGGGGACGGCCAGCAAAAAATGCTAAAACGTTCAGAAAGATGAAATTAAGATTGCTAAGGGAAGAAGTGTTACAGTGGGAATCAATATTACCCCTAATCAACAAGGGGAAATTCTCACAGCACCACCGGTATTAATGGAAGCGAAGAAAATCAAAGCCACCACTCCAATTGGAGCAAGTGGAGCCAAGAAAGCAGGAAGCAGTAATAAAGGAGCACAAAAAACACAGAGGGCATAGACAAAAAGAAAAGAGCAGGAGAAACCAGCTTCAGAAATATGGCCAGTGTTACCAGTAAGAGTAGAAGGGACTAAGACGCCAATGAATAATGAGAACACGCCGACTACTATGGGACCAAATACTATCTTAATTGGGAATCAATCTAGTGGAGAGGGAGGAGACAAAACAGAACGGCCTCTGGAGATGGCAGCTGGAAAAGGAAACACGCAACGAAGGCTACAACTGGAGCATAAGGAAAATGGAGGAAGAACATGGGCAAATATGGTAGAGGGAAATAAATTGGCTACTAAGGGAATGGAGCTTCGATTTGTTCCACCAACAATAATAAATGGGGAGAAGGTTGCAGAATTAACACAGACAGATGTGAAAACTGAGAATGAGAAATGGAAGTTTGCGTTAATTGGGTATATGGTTGGAGGCACACCTACAATTGCAGCAATGGAAAGGTATGTTGCAGCTCAAGGGAACTTTGAGACTAAACCAAAAATATATTATCACAATGCAGGATACTTTGTGATAAATTTCAGTTCTGAGGAAGACAAGAGTCAATTGCTATGTGTAGGTCCTCATATGATGAACAATAGGCCGATAAATTTGAAGCCTTGGACCAGTGATTTTAATTTTGATGAGGAAGAATTGAAAACTATTCCAATTTGGGTGAAACTACCAAACCTTCCATTAAGCTGTTGGAGTCCTATAGCTTTGAGCAAAATTGGAAGTGGGCTGGGTCTACCTTTGTATGCAGATAATTGTACTACTAATTCAACCAGAATTTCCTATGCTAGGATACTTGTGGAAATAGATGTTACAAGAGAATTGCCAAACAGTGTTAAGGTGAAGGATCCGCAAGGAAGGATGTTTGAACAAGCATTATGGTATGATTGGAAGTTGATATCTTGTCCTAAATGCTTACAAATAGGACACAAATGTCAAACAGAAAAGCAAAACCAGAATGAGAATAAGCCAGGGCCACAACAGAGGATGAAACAGCATCAACAGAAAACAGAATGGAAGATTGTTGGAAACATAGACAATAACAAGAGTTTGCAGATCAATGAAACAGAAAAAGCAATTCAGCAGGAAATGATACAGCAAGGAGTTGATGATGATGATGGAGATTGGAGAGAAGTGAGGGGACGATCAGCAGCAAAAAATCCACACATTCCTCAGAATGGTAGCCATATAACAGTGTTGAATGGTTTCAAGATGCTAGTTGAAGGAGGAAAACCTGGGGGACAAAGCTCAAAGCAACATATTCAGACTAGTCCAGGGACATGTGGAGAGACAGGGGAAACGGGAATGACCATCATCCTCAAATATGCTAATAGTTACCTGGAATGTGAGGGGTTTCAATAAGGTGTTTAAGCACAAGGAGATGAAGGAGATATTAAAGAAATATAAAGTTAGCTTAATTGCAGTTAGTGAAACTAGAATAGAAGATAATAAAGTGGATAGTATTATGAATAAAATTGTACCAAACTGGAAATGGTACACTAATGTAGGACATGGGCCAAGAAATAGAATATGGATAGTGTGGAATCCGGAGGAGATTCAGTTCACTGTCATGGATACATCAGGCCAAGTGATCCATGGACTAGTGAAAACAAAGACAAAAGAGTTTCAATTTTCAGCTGTGTATGGGTTACACGCAATACACACTAGAAGGGAGATGTGGATTAAGCTAAGGAATTTGAATGCGCAAATAACAAGCCCATGGCTGATCATGGGAGATTTCAATTCCATAATTGATGATGAGGATAGAAGGTATGGAAGTGAAGTCCAAGCACATGAAACTAAGGACTTTAAAGAGCTCATGGAAGAATGCAAGATGAATGAATTGCCAACGGTCGGAAGGACATATACATGGACCAATAACCATGTGTATAGTAGAATTGATCGAGCAATTGTTAACGCTGATTGGATGATTACTATGCCCCCTTTACAGGTTCAAATACTGGATCCTCATTTTTCAGATCACTCGCCTTTGAGGCTTGAGGTAGAGATACCTGCTGATAGTGGGAGAAAACCTTTCAAGTTCTTCAATTACTTAGCTGACCATCCAGACTTTGAAAGAACAGTACATGACAATTGGGCAAGGACGAAGGGAAAGATGAATGGAGTATGGCAGAATTTGAAGACAATTAGAAAAGAAATGAAGAAGCTGAATGCAAGAACAAAGACCAGTGAGATGCTACACAAGGTCAGAACTGAACTGGAAGAATTACAAAGTAATATGAGAGGTGATAGTGTGAATTCAGAGAAGTTTGACAAGGAAAAGGATCTCAAAATGCAACTTGAGAAGTGGAATCTTGTTGAAGAGAGCATATTTAAGCAGAAGTCAAGAGTTCAGAACATCAGATCGGGGGATTCAAATACTGCCTTCTTCTTTGCAAGTATGAAAAGAAGAAGAACTCACAACCAAATCAGAATGATTAAAACAAAGAATGGAGAAGTGACAAACAGCCCTAAGGAAATTCAAATGGAGATAATAGACTTTTACAAGGAGCTTTTGGGATCAGATACTGAAAGCTTACCAGCAGTACACCCAAGAGTCCTTCAGCAAGGGCCTATCCAGAACAGAAGCCAACAACTATAGCTTATGCAAACATTCAATAAGGAGGATGTGTTACAAGCACTCAATGGAATTGATGATATGAAGGCACCCGGAGGAGATGGTTTTAATGCATACTTCTTTAAGAAGGCATGGAAGATTATAGGGGATGATGTAACTGAGGCAGTATTACAGTATTTTGATACAGGTACCATGTACAAACCAATAAATACTACTTCAGTAACTTTAATNTGAAACTATTTGCAAAAGATTTCTCTTGACAGGGGAGGCAAATGTGAAGGGGAAAGCTATGGTAGCATGGGAGAAAATCTGCCTCCCAAAATCTGCTGATGGATTAAATGTAACGGATATGATAACATGGAACAAAGCTGCACTTCTGAAACAATTATGGAGCATCTATAAGAAAAAAGAAAGATTATGGATCTATGGGTCCATGAATATTATATGAAAGGGAAGATGCCATGGGAAACAAAGGTTAATCAAGCTGCTTGGATAACAAGGAAGATATTACAAGCCACTAAGTACTTGGATGAAGCTGGTCTCAATCGACTTGAGGTACTGAATGGTGAAAACTTCTCCATAAGAATGATGTATAACAAATTGAGAGGTGAATTTGACAAAGTAACTTCGAGGCGACTAGTTTGTAACAACCAAGGATGTCCAAAATGGTTGTTCATCCTATATTTGGCAGTTCAGAAAAGGTTGTACACAAAAGACAGATTAAGCAAATGGGGCATCATAAACTGCCAAACATGCTCGCTATGTGAATTGGAGGAAGAAAGCCACCAGCACCTGTTTTTTGAATGCACATTTTCAGCAAGTATATGGAAAAAACTACTGATGTGGCGGGGAATAAATAGACAAATACAAGGCTGGGAGGCGGAAATTAGCTGGCAGTTACACAGGAAGCAGGAAAACAAGCACAAGCAGAGATATATCGGCTTACTTTAGGAGCAGCTATATACCAGATTTGGATGGAAAGAAACTACAGAATATTTCAGAAGAAGAAGAGGAGCAGTAAAGACGTTACGAGGATGATTATACAAGAAGTACATTTTAGAGGTAGTATGAAGTCAAAGTTGTATAGCATATTGACTAGATTAAACTTTTATCCATAGCATAGGAATGTAACTAGAAGTGAAAGCTGATGAGATGAGTTGCTGAATTTGGGGCCATATGTCCAAATTCAGATTCTGAAAGGTGCTGTAAATATTTCTTTGGTAAATAATAAAAGTTAATTACCAAACACACGCACACATACACACACACACACACACACACACACACACATATATATATATATATATATATATATATTTGGACTTACGTTATTGGTTATAGCCTGAAAGGATAGTAACGTGGCCCAAGTGGTGGATAGATAAAAAGCCTAATATTAAATATTGTGTGTGTGGATAAGTGAGGCTCAATAACTATTGGCCTGTGATGAGTATGCACTCTTTATAAATAGAGGCCAACCCCCTTTCCCTAGCTATTAGAAAACCCTAGCATATTTTGCCTCTTGAATACGTGGTAATGGTAGACGTCCCATCAGTCAAGTTCTCTGGGCTGTGAGAGCGCGTAGCTAGTGGATCGTGAAAGTTGGTCTCGGGCTTAATCGCTGTTTGCTGTCGCTGCTGAATCGATGGAGTTTAACGGTAGGCTTCCTTAGACTCTTACTCAAGATTATGATTTTATATCTGTATGATTGTGTCTTAATCTCTGCTATGGCTGCGAATTAATAATCTAATAGTTGATATCAGAGCCATCATAGTTTGGGATTAAGATCGATGAATTAATCTTGGGTTTCAATATATATATATATATATATATATATATATATATATATATATATATATATATATATTCGAACAGTGGTACAGCGTAACAAAAAATTATTTTATGGCTGTTTTATTTTAATAACTTGCTGTCAGTGGTGTCGAAGGAGTGCGACGTTGCCTGATGAAATGATTTTAGAATTTACTGTTTGGAATTGTATGCATGACGTAGTGCTTTTAAAGATGAACTTATATTTATCCTTTAATTATAACTGGTTGTCCCCTTTATTACGTGGAATCCTTAACTCACAAATCTATGCATTAATTATAAAATTTTAAAGTTACTACCACTTTAAGGAAAAACAGAACGTGTAGTGCTTAGTCAGAATTAATCTGACGTGTTTATGAGATTCCTGAATTACCATTTATTAGTTTATCAAATACTTTGGTTTGTGTTTGATCATTATAATGGTTATGCTTGTTTATTAGCATACTATAATATATTAATACAATAAACTATTGTTGAGACCTATTTTTAGTTAGAGAGTGGAATAAATTCATATTCAAATGGTTTAAATGTATGTTCTTAATTTATTTCACATGTATATGATATTGTCTAAATAGGAATTTATGATTAATAAATGGTTTCCATCAAAGTGGTCTATTTATTTGGAGTCATTGAAAATTCTTAGAACTTTATACATGTGAAAAATATCATGGATTGAGATCTATGATTAATAGATAGTTTCCACCAAAGTGGTCTGTTTATTTGTGTAACGACCCGACCCGTCGTTACGGGAGTTACCGCCCCGTTTTCCCCGTTTTATGCTTCTATATGTTTCATTATATGTGTTTGGAAAATTTGAAGTAATTCGGATAGAGTTCGGTTGGAAATGAGACAATAAGTCTCTTTATGAGAAGGCTAGTTTGGAAAAAGTCAACCGAATGTTGACTTATGAGTTAGAAGGCTCGGAATGAATTTCCGATGATTCGACTAGTTTCGGGGGATGATTTGTGACTTAGGAGCGCAATCGGAACTGAATTTGGAGGTCCGGTGTGGAATTAGGCTTGAATTGGCTAAGGTTGGATTTTGGCGAATTCCGGATGGGAGGTGAGATTTTGATCCGAGGGTCGGAATGGAATTCCGAGAGTTGCAGTAGCTCCGTTAGGTGATTTTGGATATGCGTGCAAAGTTTCAGATCATTCGGAGGTGTTTAGGTCGGGTTTTAGATCAAATGCAAGTTTCGGAAGTTTTAGTTTAACTTAGGCTTGAATCCGTGGTAATTCGATGATTTTGGTGTTTATGATAGTGCTTTTATGTTACGAGCAAGTTTGAATGAAGTAATAGAACATATCTGTGCATTTGGTTGAGGTCCCGAGGGCCTCGGGGTGAATTCGGGTGGTTAAACGAGAGTTTTGAGGTGTAATTGCAGGTCAGATTTTTCTGTCATCTGGTGTTTCCGCTTCTGCGGAAATGGACCGCAGAAGCGGGTACGTGGTCGCAGAAGCGGTCGTGGCCGGCTAGGGAAATTCCGCAGATGCGGAAGGTGGCTCGCACTAGCGGGTCCGCATAAGCGGACAATGTGCCGCAGAAGCGGTTTTGAAGGAACCGTAGAAGCGGACTTCGCGTCGCATAAGCGAAGTCCGGGATTCTAAGTGAAAACCGCTTAAGCGGAAATGTGGCCGCAGAAGCGGTCCCGCATAAGCAAAAGCGGGACCGCAGAAGCGAAAATCGCTGGGCGACAGAAGGGTTTTAAAATAATATTTCATCTGCGACGCTTTCATATTTTTCCTCCATTGTTGACGTTCTTAAGAGCTTTGAACAAGGAAATTCGAGGGTTTTGACTGAGAATCACTTGGAGGTAAGTTCCTTGGCCCAAATATTCGATTTTAAGGTAGAAATTACATGTAAATTGTAGAAAATTCATCAAAAAACGGGTCAGGCTAGGGCTTGTAAAGCTGTAATGTAAAAATGAAATTTTGAGGGTCAAACGAGCTCCGATTTTGGT